CTCCTTTGTCTAAACCTCACAGAAGGTGTTGCTGTGCTGGTGGTTGGTTGTTTGCTTGCTTGTTAATTTTTTTGATGTGCTAACCAGCTATTGTAGCACTATTCATATTTATTTTTTTCTTTCTCCAAAGTCACTGCTGTCAGTGTGACAGGGCATCAGGCTACAACTCAGGACATTTGTATTTTGCTGGTAGCTCTGACCAATAAAACTCTTCCCTTACCTCTGCCTTAAATTCTCCATATATTAATTAATTATTGCACTGGTCTTGAATATTATTGGAGGTTCCACAGAGAAAGTAGTACCCAAGCATTAAATATCAGTAACATTTGAGGTGTGAAAGACACCATTCAGAAGGGAAATCCAACTCCCTGCTCGTGCCTACAGCTCAGAGTGAGATACAGCCCAGAGAGGACGCCCAAATACAAGTGAGGGGAGTGCAGATTTCCAGGTGTGAGCTGCATGACTGAACTCCCAATAAAGCCAACAGAAAAGAGTCTGCACAGGGTTTCACCTCCTTCAAAAGTAACCAAGTTTTTTGGGATTCAATTTCCAAAATGTGCATCTTTCAAACCCTGCTCAGTGATCTTCAGCTCTGTATTTTCTGGGATATTCCAGATCTGTGAAGATGTTCTGGATACCCAAGGCACTGAGAATCTGTTCCCTTCTCCAGAGGATTAAAATAAAGCTCATGTATCCCAGACACCCATGTGTGCCCACAGGAACTTCAACTTTGTGCTGCTGGAAAATCCATTGCTTGGGAAAGTTAAGACTTCATCTCTGGAAATCTGATTTTCATAGGAAGTAGAGTGCAAATGAAAGTATCCCAGGCAGACAGTCAGAATGTTCAGGCCTCATTTCAACATTTTGTCAAACAAAAAGGAAAAAAAATGGTGAAGCAATCCAGAAGAGACCTGCTGTGTTTGCAGGCAGGCCTGCATGTATTTTTGTATTTTTGTATTTTTGCAAATTAATTCAGGTTCTAACTTAATCCATGGAAATCTTGAGCAGTCCATTAAACACACCTTTATGCCTCATGCAGAGTTAAAGATCCCAGAACTCACACAGTCTGTTCCATGGAACTGAAAACACACTTTTCTGGAGTGTAATACAACTTGGAATTCTTCAAAGAGAATCTCCAAAAGTTCCCAGCAGTGAGACAGAGCACGGGGAGGAGCTGGGTGAAATTCTGTGATGTGGTGAATTGACAGCAATCAACTCTGTGAGTTATGGGTTTTTACCCCAGCTCTGGTTTAATGCCAGGTAAATTTGATCAGGGATGGATCCTTGGGGGGTAATAGCAGTCACACCTTTTTGGTGCCTCCACACACCAGTGGCTGAGTTCTTTTTTCTTCTGCCTTCACTCAGGGTCAGGATTGAATGCTCAGGAGATGGATTTTCTTGTTCAGACTTGGTTGTTTATTAAATCTTACCCATAGTACAGAGAGTTCTGCAGCACTTCTAGCTAACAAGCTAAAAATGTGAGTAAAAATGTCAATAGATCTAGTTAGTTATAAGGTCTTTTAAAGGATAACTATCCAATCAAAAACTAACATTTATATTATTTATAGTTTTGACCCAACAACCAAACACCTGTGACCCACACTGCAGTACTTTCTATCCAACCAAAAACTACTACCTGAAATCATGAAGAAGAAGGAACAAGGAGGAAGAAGAACCTCCATCTTGTCCCATACCTATTACTGTATTCTAAAACCCCAAATTCCAAACCTTTCACCATGTGATATTACACATTTCTATTCTAACTACACACCAGTGACTCTAACTCCATCACTCAAATTTGGAGCCTTCTCCAAGGCCTCAGGTCAAAAGCAGTGTTCTACAGGGGATCAGTGTCAGAAAGCACAGAAAGTTCAAAACTCAGAGTTCCAACATGGGGGTGTTATTAACAGCACACTTGAAGGCTGATTTTGTGTTTGTTGTGTGCATTGATGCTCTGATGGAATTCAGGACAGCAGCTGGAACTGGGGATAGGCATTTAGAGTTGTACCAAGCAGAATTAAAGTCATAAACAAGAACCAGTTTTGGACACAGTACTTTAGGATGCCTGCAGACCAGAGTGGGAGGATGAAATTCAGAAAAGTTGGGTATTTGTGAGTCTAACTGTGGCCTGCTAATTCTCATCCCCTCTTCCTGCTTCTCAGTATTCTGTTAAATTAATGATCTTTCAGGGATGTAAACAGTAATAATGCTAGCTGCAAGAGAACTCTGCAAAACGTTTAAATTATTTTGCATATGTGACCACTTACCTTCATTTTTATGTCGTGTTTTCTTGTTGCTACTCACCTACCCTTTCTTTAGCCCACCTATTTCATTATTTCTTGTACATTTTCTGCCTCCCAGCATTTTAAATTAGGAGTGAGCTTCATTTTTAGGCATGTAGGACAAAGCATCCTGTAACACATTGGCACCAACAGAACAGAATCACCTTATGTTGGTCTTGAATAATTCTTTGCAGACAGCTATATTTTCCATAAGTAAATTAAGATAAACTCTCAATGGAGTTGATCTCTTAAGCATCCTTTAGCTCTGGTGTATCTAAATGTCTCCTTCAAGACTAAATTAATTATAAAATTACCTTAAAGTGTTTCTTTCTCTCCTGTGACTACAAGAACTTTCATTTCAGTGTAGTTGGAAATGTCTGTATTGCAGATATTTGCCTCTAGGACAACTCTAACAAAAAACCTACATTCCAAAAAGAAAAAAATTCTCCACATTGGAAGTTTAGGCAGTTGCCTTCTTGCTCATCAGAAATCTGAGTGTTGTGATGCCTGAGGATTTTAGCTTTTATATTTTTCATAGATTTGAAATCCTGCAATTCTTTAGTGTATAACTCCAAACTCCATGTACAGTGTGAGCTGCTGCTTTCCCACTCTGTCAGACACAACAATTCCTCTCCAGGCCTGGGAATCAAGGACCCCTCACTGCCTCAGGCCTGAGAAATGTAAACAAAAATGAGTTGGGGGGAGCAAACTGGGAGTAAATGACTTCATTACCTGAAGCTGTAATTGGAAGATTAACCCCAATATGCAAATGGACCAAACTTATAAAAATGTGAAAACCAAACTCATGATCCATGGTCCATTTTTGGGTGTAGCCCCTGGGGGGCTTTGCCTGCCCAAAATGTACCTGAAGGCCCTTCAATAAATAAATATATCCAATAAATATACCTGCTTTTGAGTGCCTTGATTTTGTCTGGCCTCTGCTTTTAGGTGACCCATGCCAGGCAATGAGTGTGCTCAGGCTCCTGGCTGCTCCCCAGGGCTCAGGTGACAGCACACCCACGAAAGGTGAGCAGCTGGGTGGAGGCTCCTGGCTGGCCCCGAGCCCGGGGCTGGGACAGGGCTGGGACAGGGCTGGGACACAGCAGGGACACAGCAGGGACACAGCAGGGACACAGCAGGGACACAGCAGGATCTGTGCTGGGGCTGCTCCAGCAGGAGTGGGAGCCCAGCAGAGCAGCAGCTGCTGAGGGGTGAGGATTGAAGAACCACGGGTGGGTGTTTGTGTTGTATTTGTTGTGCTGTGTTTGTTGTATTGTGTTATGCTGTGTTGTGTTTGTGTTGTTGTGTAGTGTTTTTGTTGTGTTTGTTGTGTTTGTATTGTGTTTGTGTTGTATTTGTTGTGTTGTTGTGTGTTGTGCTGTTTGTGTTGTGTTTGTTGTGTTGTGTTTGTTGTGTTGTGTTATGCTGTGTTGTGTTTGTGTTGTTGTGTTGTGTTTGTTGTGTTTGTGTTGTTGTGTAGTGTTTTTGTTGTGTTTGTTGTGTTTGTGTTGTATTTGTTGTGTGTTGTGCTGTTTGTGTTGTGTTTGTTGTGTTGTGTTATGCTGTGTTGTGTGTTCGTTGTGTTGTATTTGTTTTATTGTGTTTGTGTTGTGTTTGTGTTGTTGTGTTGTGTTTGTGTTCTATTTGTTGTGTTGTAGTTGTTGTGTTGTGTGTGTTGTGCTGTGTTTGTATTGTGTTTGTGTTGTTGTGTTGTGTTGTGTTTGTTTCATTGTGTTTGTATTGTGTTTGTGTTGTATTTATTGTGTTTGTTGGGTTGTGTTTGTGTTGCTGTGGCTGGGGTCAGGCTGAGAAAGGGGGCACAGCTGGGGAGATGCTGAGGAGCAGCTGGAAGCAGGGGATGGTAACATCGACCCCAAAAATGGTACAGAGAGACTTTTCAGAAGGCTGGCACAAAGGAAAATGTGAACAGCTCCAGAATGGATGGAGAAGCTGAGCTAGAGAAAAGGATTGTGACCTTCAACTTAGAAAGAAAGAATGCAGCAGTGAGAGACAGAGGAGA